TATATATGAATATAGACACATACTCTCACATATATACATAGATGCTCATATATGGGCACTCGCACGCGTATTTGTACACACGCACAGGACATTAACGCACTTTAAGTGCTAAGCACAAAGTAGTTAAATGCACATAGTATATATATGGTAACAAAAAACAGTCTGAAAGATTGTTTGCAGTGCAAAAATAGCAACAAATCCAGGTTTAATCCAAACTACCATTGTTCGCATTTTACATATACATGATTCATCTGGACATGTGCGATATAATTTTTAATATTCATATGGCTTTTGCAAAGGATCAAGTTGTCTGTCTGTGAGCCTGTGCGTGTTAGTGTATATGCAAGTACATATACATTTATGTATACATAGCATTTATTGATTCAAGTATATATGTAGACATATCTATACACATGTATACATAAACTGGCATGGGACAACCTTTATCATTTTTTTGATATTTACAGGAAACACCTCTAGTTTCTAGTACGACAGAGCCATCGGCAACTACAACTACTCGACCAACAACAACGGAAACGACAACAATCACCCCATTCATTTCTGTTAGTACAAAGATGACTGGCTAGACACTTGCTGATTATAACGCAGGATAGTGTGTTAATATCTGACACAAGAATGTGCATGTTCATACTCGCTCACACCCACTGCCATGGACAACATTCATCACCTTAATTTTCACAGGAGACACCTACAGTTTCTAGTACGACCGAGCCATCGCCGACTATAACTACCAGACCAACAACACTGGAAACGACAACAATCACTCCATTCACTACTGTTAGTACAAAGACAACCGATAGATTACATAACAGGATAGTGTTTATATCTGCCAAAAGTATCTATATATACTTGCTCATACACAGAGACGCAAGAGCATCAGTGAACACACTAGTTACTCCTTGCAATCCCAAAGAATCAAACGACCACACCCAAAACACACTAAGACACATAGAAATACATACACATACGAGCACAGACACACATATATGTATAATGTAAATATATTTATATAAATGTGTATATATATATATATATACATTGTATTGATATATAGGAATATAGACACATACTCTCACATATATACATAGATGCTCATATATGGGCACTCGCACGCGTATTTGTACACACGCACAGGACATTAACGCACTTTAAGTGCTAAGCACAAAGTAGTTAAATGCACATAGTATATATATGGTAACAAAAACCAGTCTGAAAGATTGTTTGCAGTGCAAAAATAGCAACAAATCCAGGTTTAATCCAAACTACCATTGTTCGCATTTTACATATACATGATTCATCTGGACATGTGCGATATAATTTTTAATATTCATATGGCTTTTGCAAAGGATCAAGTTGTCTGTCTGTGAGCCTGTGCGTGTTAGTGTATATGCAAGTACATATACATTTATGTATACATAGCATTTATTGATTCAAGTATATATGTAGACATATCTATACACATGTATACATAAACTGGCATGGGACAACCTTTATCATTTTTTTGATATTTACAGGAAACACCTCTAGTTTCTAGTACGACAGAGCCATCGGCAACTACAACTACTCGACCAACAACAACGGAAACGACAACAATCACCCCATTCATTTCTGTTAGTACAAAGATGACTGGCTAGACACTTGCTGATTATAACGCAGGATAGTGTGTTAATATCTGACACAAGAATGTGCATGTTCATACTCGCTCACACCCACTGCCATGGACAACATTCATCACCTTAATTTTCACAGGAGACACCTACAGTTTCTAGTACGACCGAGCCATCGCCGACTATAACTACCAGACCAACAACACTGGAAACGACAACAATCACTCCATTCACTACTGTTAGTACAAAGACAACCGATAGATTACATAACAGGATAGTGTTTATATCTGCCAAAAGACAGTATCTATATATACTTGCTCATACACAGAGACGCAAGAGCATCAGTGAACACACTAGTTACTCAATGCAATCCCAAAGAATCAAACGACCACTTGCACTAAATCAACATTTGAATCACACTCAAAGATAGCCACGGCAATATAGATACATCAATCCATACGTACACACATGTATATACATATATATATATATATATATATATATATATATATATATATATATATATATATATATATATATATATATATATATATATATATATATATATATATATATATATATATATATATATATATATATATATATATATATATATATATATATATATATATATATATATATATATATATATATATATATATATATATATATATATATATATATATATATATATATATATATATATATATATATATATATATATATATATATATATATATATATATATATATATATATATATATATATATATATATATATATATATATATATATATATATATATATATATATATATATATATATATATATATATATATATATATATATATATATATATATATATATATATATATATATATATATATATATATATATATATATATATATATATATATATATATATATATATATATATATATATATATATATATATATATATATATATATATATATATATATATATATATATATATATATATATATATATATATATATATATATATATATATATATATATATATATATATATATATATATATATATATATATATATATATATATATATATATATATATATATATATATATATATATATATATATATATATATATATATATATATATATATATATATATATATATATATATATATATATATATATATATATATATATATATATATATATATATATATATATATATATATATATATATATATATATATATATATATATATATATATATATATATATATATATATATATATATATATATATATATATATATATATATATATATATATATATATATATATATATATATATATATATATATATATATATATATATATATATATATATATATATATATATATATATATATATATATATATATATATATATATATATATATATATATATATATATATATATATATATATATATATATATATATATATATATATATATATATATATATATATATATATATATATATATATATATATATATATATATATATATATATATATATATATATATATATATATATATATATATATATATATATATATATATATATATATATATATATATATATATATTATATATATATATATAATATATATATATATAATATATATATATATAATATATATATATATATATATCATTACGTACACATATATACATGCACACACACACACACACACACACACACATACTCATATATATATATATAATATATATATATATAATATATATATATATATATGGTAACAAAAAACAGTCTGAAAGATTGTTTGCAGTGCAAAAATAGCAACAAATCCAGGTTTAATCCAAACTACCATTGTTCGCATTTTACATATACATGATTCATCTGGACTTGTGCGATATAATTATTAATATTCATATAGCTTTTGCAAAGGACCAAGTTGTCTGTCTCTGAGCCTGTGCGTGTTAGTGCATATGCATGTACATATACATTTATGTATACATAGCATTTATTGATTCAAGTATATATGTAGACATATCTATACACATGTATACATAAACTGGCATGGGACAACCTTTATCATTTTTTTGATATTTACAGGAAATACCTCCAGTTTCTAGTACGACAGAGCCATCGGCAACTACAACTACTCGACCAACAACAACGGAAACGACAACAATCACCCCATTCATTTCTGTTAGTACAAAGATGACTGGCTAGACACTTGCTGATTACAACACAGGATAGTGTGTTAATATCTGACACAAGAATGTGCATATTCATACTCGCTCACACCCACTGCTATGGACAACATTCATCACCTCCTTAATTTTCACAGGAGACACCTACAGTTTCTAGTACGATCGAGCCATCGCCGACTATAACTACCAGACCAACAACACTGGAAACGACAACAATCACTCCATTCACTACTGTTAGTACTAAGACAACCGATAGATTACATAACAGGATAGTGTTTATATCTGCCAAAAGACAGTATCTATATATACTTGCTCATACACAGAGACGCAAGAAGAACCGGGCTCCCCTCATGGGCATAGCCCGGGCGAGGCTCTGCCTCGCGAATCAGGCAAAAAAAAAAAAAAAAAAAAAAAAAAAAAAAAAAAGAGACGCAAGAGCGTCGGTGAACACACTAGTTACTCAATGCAGTCCCAAAGAATCAAACGACCACCGCCGAACTTGCCCTAAATCAACATTTGAATCATACTCAAAGATAGCCACTGCAATATAAATACATCAATCCATACGTACACACACACACACGCACACGCTCGTATATATATATACATTATGTATAAATATACATATATATATATATATATATATATATATATATATCATTACGTACACATATATACATGCACACACACACACACATACTCATATATAAAAATATTTACATATATGTATATATATATGAATTACATACACACGTACATATATATCTGTATTTATATGTATGTATACATACACATATACATATATGTCTGTCCACATATATTCCCACACAGTTATAGTCACGCAGCTTCAGATCATATCATTTTGTGCTTGATATAAATCCGGATATCTAGGAATCATATTTCTGGAATTTAGGCAGCATCGCATTCAGCTCTTCCCTATTCCATTATTTAATGAACATGTGGGTATTATCAAAATGTCCTAACTTTTTTAATATTCCAACAAAAAATATTCAGAAAAAGTCTCCAATCTGCGACTAGACATTTTCTACTTTTTAACACAACACTGACTGACTTTGCTACTGAAGCCGTGGACTAAAGTCGCAAACCAACGGAACGACCCCAGGCAGTATTTCATTAATACTTTTTATTCTTTTACAG